AATAATATTACCAGTCAAAAAGATATGCTGTTTATCCGTAAATCGGAGCATTTCGGTGTGATAGCTACTATTTGCAAACGTTTAGTTAGTTAATCTGTCTGTAATACAGGGCTTATATTATAGTAGCCGTCCGTCCATACACAGTACACACATACTTAATAGCGTTATATTTGATTCGTATGTAGCACTAAAATATATCATATGGTAGTGTCTTCCATGTGGTAATAGTATTCCATTATATTTCATCCCAGAAGTTACGTTTCATGAACTAGTGGACAATAATGACACGAGTACGTGTCGTGCGTGCCCGTGAATATGAAAGGTATATTTTTTTTTTTTATGGTAGATTGCTATTTAATAATGTTAGCTTCACTCGTGGCCTGGACATTCTAAAAATGGGCACCATCGCATCAAAAAGCATTAGAATCGAAAACCGATCCGGCTTGTAGCTGATTTTCGGCAGCAATTTAGGTATTGAAAAGGTCTTCTCTGATAGAGGCTGACACGGTCGTGCCACTGAAGTCACCTCAACGCTGATATCACTTTCTACTTCATCGAAATAGCTAAACTTTGTGGTAAAGTAACAGCTAAAACATCGCTATGGATATCCAAAAATGACTAGTCCAATATTTCTCCTCTGTCTGCCTCAACCAGCCATCACGCACTTGTAAGGCTACGTATGAAACAGGCAAAAATCTTTACTTTGTGCCTCGCAAAAAAGAAAGCGGATATTACAGTTGATAGCGACTAATAATAGCAACAAAGTTCTTCTTAGATAATATTTAGACGATCATCATACATAGCCAAACGGAAAGCAACGTTACCAAGCAGACTACTTTGAAGGAATCTTCATACATGCGTTTCTTAAATACCTTCAGCTTTTGACTATACACCGTATTTTTTAACGTTGTGACACTTCTCACGGACTGTCAACTACTACTAACTGAGTCCTACGAGTATTAAGTTACTTAACAATATTATATCTTCAGGATTATGCGGTTGGCAGGGGAAGCTTCTACTCGGGCAAGGACAGGGAACAAATGAGATGAGATAATTTGGTCTCGGATCCTAAATGCGTATCCTACCAGATAGATTCAAATTTGTTAATTTATTTACATTTACTTTTGCTTATATGCCTCATGTTAGCCATCAAAGAAGTCCGGTAGATCATTACAGCTACAGAATATCAGGTACTTCAAGGGCTCTGAGCATATTAGGCCGTAATAAGCAAAACCGGTCGGTCTTGATATGCAATGATCTATAAGCTGTACCACGCCGACAGATGAAATTTGGCTGAAAGATAAACGGTCGAGCTTTTTAACATATGAGGCGGAAACCGGTTCATTTCAAAGGAAAGAGGCTCAGAGAGAAGAGCAAACCAGCGTTCAGTGATTAAGTTTCGCAAAAAAAGCAGCGGTGCCAAAATTAATTGGTGACGAATGGTGAAGACATTAGGAAAAAAGGTCTCAAGAGAAAGCACAATACACAATGAATAATGCGTACGTTCGAAGAACGCAGATTGGAGGGGACGACCATGTGCTTGAGCCGCAGGAGAAGGGCACATCGCCATAACCGAGGAGGCTTTTCACGAAGCCAAAGTTCGAACCGTAAGGACTCTGTCAATCAAAATTAGCCTTTTACACGTAAAGTATTATATAATTATAATGCAAATACTGAGAATACGGAATCTACATAAAAAATAAGTCCTTAAGCGGTGAATTAATGCCAAATTAGCTGAAAATGCAATCATGTGCAACCTGTCGGACTTCATTCAGTAAAATACGCTTCTACAATATACGTTTGCCACACAAGAGGCATGGCTGAATCTCTACCAACAACCGGAGAGGGACTAGGGAATGGCATCATGCTAGAGAGTTATCGGGTTAGATGACTGGGCCCAGTAGATTCGGGCGTAAGGAGATAGCACTATTCGCCAAAAATTAAATCAGTTTGCTATCTCAAGAGGCTCATGGACCGGTAATCAAAAGCACGCAGTCTAGTCAATTAATGATAACGCCAACTCTAATCACCATGCCTCAATTATTTCGTGGATTGAGCAGAGGAGCCTCTAATATTGGCTTCAATCCGCTTCTTCTCCCGATAAATCCGTATGATTACGAGGTTTTCCAGTACCAGTGGTGAATACCAGGTACACCCCACTATCGATTCGCTTCGAAATGTTACAATGAGAGAAACTACGTGTCAGACTGCGATTGCCAGAGCGATTCAAGAAGTGTGTAGAGGTGAAGGTAACGCCTCTAACGTATATTAAAAATCATAATTCTATCCTAACTAATTTAAAAGTTATCCAACTTCAAAGTTCGCCGAATTAACTTTTAACAGCCAATAAACTTTTGATCGTACGAGGCCCGACATATTCCTGCCACAGACACGTCGAATGAAACAAAAATACAATTTTACTGTATATTGCATAAATGGCGCCATTTAATTGTGACTCATAAATCGTTATTAATTATCCTCGTTGTTATACAATATGGCTTACATCTTCCATGAATCGCTCCTTTGTGAACGTTGCTTACGCCAATTAAAAATCGTTCTTTGTTATTTATGTTTCGTTCGCTTGAATATAGAGCTAAAGACATATAGCTGTGCGTTGTTCCACCGTTCGTCTTAACACTTATGCTAGCGATTTCTGCGCTCTTCTTATGGTCTTTTGAAACTGCCCCCATATCACCCGACAACAAGGGAACAACCACAGCGGAAAGGAGGTATAGGGAGAGCGGGCAGATTACAAACAAATCGACTTTTTAACAACTGCCGTTAAGCAGTACAGTTAAATGCGGACGACAAACGTGACAGATGGGGCCGATTTATCTCGGACGGATTTACTAGCACGCAGAAGATTCATTAACAAATAGGAAACACAACAGTGATATATTTGCATTTTTTGCCAGTGTCCTTCTCCGAAGGGGGCAGTATGTAACGCCTGTCGATGAGGTCTGCCGGATAGCGAATGCGGCCAGCACATGCTATGACACAGTCGATTGCCCTGCTAGTCTTCTTGATTAGTTGATTTAACCTAGCTGGTTAAAACAATGCCCCATAACGATTTAGGGTAAATTTATGGCCAGCTGAAATGTCATTCAAGTCTCATTGATATATAGGTTTCTCTAAAAACACTACGTGTCGAGATTGTGTAGAATAAACAGTACTTTTGAACGGCAAAATCAATTCACGGACATAGCATCTGTCTAGCACAGATGCTATATCTATCTGTATCGTCGTACATCTTTCTACCTATTTTCCGCATACGCAACTCTAGCCTATATTAATAAGATAATATAACTATACGCTGTGTCTAAGGAAGACATTTTGCCTAATCATTGAGGACTGACAAAAGATATGGAAGAAGCTTTTCGACTTGGCCAGCTGACCATAGATAAAGAGTACCTATGAGATAACAGTATAGTACCAAAATAAAAAGCCTACGTAGCAATTACTATTTCGTTTACTAATGGTAAAAAAGGTCGAAATAAGCGGCAATGTACATGAAGAGAGCATTCGTATTAGGTGGATTGTTTGTATGTATAGAAGAAGGGGTAAAACAGTTTAGAATTTTTCCGACATCGGGCAATGCTACGTTCGACGAAACATAGTGCGTACGACAAACGATGCTGTTACTGAAGTTATAAGATTATGGGAAATTTCACCACTTTCAGGCCCAATTATTATGCCACATTGCATAGCAAAGACTAGCACACATATTAGAAGAAGACAATATCTATTTGAGATGATGGATACAATATATTTATATGTAATGTTTCCTTATGTACGCGTAATTTACATTTTCATGTGGGACATACGGTCTAGCTTCTCTAATATGGGGTCACGTAGTAACGTTGGTGTGGTTGTCAACAATAAACAACTTATTTTTCTGATTCTTATTCAGGCACGCAAGGAAATAACGTACAAAAAAAACAAAGCTATCAAAATCTCAGAGCCGGTACGTATACACAGCAATCTCGTCATGTCAAAACCCTAACAGAGATATAGATAAGTCTAATCACGCATATTCCCTATCGCGTTATAGTGGTCGCATTGAAGCTCGATGACGCATCTATTTACTTATTATCGTCAAGTCATTGCAGCTTATCAGAGGAACGAATGCTGAAAATCCTCTGTGATTTGGGATAAAAAAAGAAAAGAAAAGACAACCAGTCTACGTGTGAAGCTGGCAATAAACGATGGATTCGTCCGCTTTGAAGGCAGCGACAGCGTAGACATCAACGTGAAATGCGGCTAATAAAAAGTCATTCTGCATCGGCGTAAAAAGAAAAAGTAAGAGCAGGTCATGCTGTTGCTGCTCGTAGATCTGCCAGCACGTGGGGACCCGTACAAACAGCAGGCTCGATAGTTTGCCAATGGACATATTTGGTAAAGGCCTACCGTTTGATAATTGCGCTTTGACCACTGCTTTGGTATTGCACTTCATTGCTGTGGAAAAAAAATGCAACTCTGTTTTCAAGATCATAGACATAACATGGAGTCGATTAGTGAAAAAAGGCCCGTTGTAAGGAGACGAATGCATTAGACCATCCATAGTGAACAGGTTCAGTAGAGCATAACTTGGAACTCCAGGAAGGTACCCATAGAATGTTTCAAAAACGCGAAATTATACCTGCTGAAGCCTAGAATGGCTTATTTGGTGTGTTTATATATTGATTGTCAGCTTTTCATCGTACAATAGGTGGTATAACAAACGTATTTCGTTAATCCGTAGTCACAGCTGATATTCGCTATTCTAGACGTTTTTATTTATCGCTCTAAAATGATGAACATATTTAAATTCTATCTCTTCGCTATAGAGATCTTTAGACTTGAGTTAGCATAACCCTTATTTGGCACAGTTGGCCTCTTGTCAAACAACTTATTTGAAATACGAATTTATTGTGTGTAGCCATGTGTTCTACATATACCTTTGATATATAGCTAAACTAGGGGTAAAATCTTCTCTTGTATAATATATGAGAAAAACTTACATGTGTGAATTGTTCTTTGGCAACGCTCTCCTGGGCATCGAGAATGGTCCTATATCCTCCTGTGGGTGACTTCTTAGCCTTTACATTCTGTGCTTCAAGTTTAGCAGCTGAAACTGGGTCATAACCGATTGTGAACACTGTTATTATCGCTGTGACGCACACCAATCTCGAGCCCATCTGAAATATAAACATTTGAAATAAAAAGTAAAAAAATTACCATAAGTGCACATATATATATATATATATATAGATCCACTATGAGAATTGCTCACTTTCATACAGGCAGTATTCGTTCGGTATATAAAAGCACCGAGCCGATGACTCGTACAAAAATGAGAAATAGCCTTTGTCACAGACTGAAACTTATGAATGAGAATCTTTCATCTGTTAATCAAAGAAATCATTCTTTCTTCGACGTAATTTGCTGTAACTTCAAGTATCTTCTTAGACGACGGAGACAATATACGGGACTAAAAAAAAAGTTCCTCTTTGTAGATGAAATGTGCCTTAGAATGCCAAGCCATTCCGGCTTATGGTTGGCTCTTTCAAATGATCTAACATACATAATATACGACAAGTATCGATCCGTTGCCTTTTTTTTTTGCACAATGGCAGTAAGTTTTAGCCAGCATCCGTGACTCACTTATTATAGTTAACTTCAGCAAAATGTTGTCCGAATTCTTGAAAAATGTTGCACGTAAGTTGTCTTAACTATTCTGGCCATATTCCACATGACAAGACTTGTGGCATCTTCTTTCATCTCGGCAGCTATTCAGAGGTGTACGTGAAAAGTACGTGAAAGCTCAGTTGAATTTCGCAACGAACTATAGTTAGTTGTCCCCTTTGTTGTTTCCTTTGATTGTAACAATTAGCTGAATCACAAAACTATATTTTCGATAAAAAAAAAACAAACAAACAAACACGTATAACCAGAACGAGTCTTGAGATGCGAACGTCTGCTTCCTTCTGCTTTCTTCTAGTTCTAGACTGGCCACGGAAGATGCTCGTAGACAAAGCCTGATGCAATGCTTGGTATGAAACTTTTATTTAGGTAATCTTCTACAAAATGACACGGGTCCAAACTCTCTGTATTGTTTGCTTGTAGTTCTCAATGACAACGGTCTGTCTATAGGGACTATGTAGCTTACGTGTTTTACAACTCATGTAGAATAAGTGACAGCTAAAAGCTGTGGGAGGCCTGATCAACGTTCCGTGTAACTGAAACATTCTCTTTCGCAGGCTCATTTGATATTTACACTTTGCATTTAGTAGCCTCGAAGACCTACGGTTTAGGGCACAATTATTGTCCTATGCTTAAAAATAACAATAAACAGTGTTTCAAGCGGACAAATTCATCTAATGTTTACAGGTCGAACGTTGTGGATGACTGAATACGCTAGTGTTAACAGAAAGAGCATTGCTTATCGGTCAAATCAGCAACCTAAGACCAAACCAGAGTTATAACCCAGTTTGCTGACAGCTCTTATTGAATTAATTGTACTATTATATTAACTGTTCCAGTTACCAACGATCATTATACCTCTATAACAATGACCGTTCGAGAAAAAGACCTTCAAAAAATTCTCATGAATTTTTTTAACAGTAGAATGTAGCACTCTTAATGTGCACACACAAAACTGTCTTGAATAATGTAATACGAAAATAATATTAGCCATATTTTTTACTACGGAAAAACACATTGTGGTAGTAGACCAGCGAATGGCTCCGTTTCCGACTGAGGGTCGGGGCAGACACAAGCAATGATTTCTTGATTGATTATCTTTCGAGGCAGTATGTTTCGAATGAGTAGCCGGCATGGATGTAGCAGCGAATCTTCTTCGGGTGAAGTGATCATTACCAAGGTTGTTGAACATTGTTTCCAAGGTACCATTGTTGAAACTTATCAGACGAAACCCTGACTGTCCCGAAGTGGTTTCTCTGAATTTCTTTGTTCATACATTCGAATACAGGCAGTCTCTAACTATAAAACATTCATATAGCTATGTATATTTCCTTTACTACATTAAACGTATCGGTACCCTTTCAAATCTATAATAATGACGAGAACTATTCCATTTCACTATTCCAGCGCTTAAGAAATATTACATACAAAAACAAAGCTGATTAAATGATAATTCTGAGCCTACGCATTTCTGCGGTCGAACATCCCATCAAATAAACAAAATTACACACTACAATTATCGATACAACGCTTCTTCTCAGTATAAGTTTTATATAAGAGATGTGTAATTAAGTTATTATCAATTTATATCACGTGCCACCAGGCATACTTAATGAGTGCTGTTATTTTATGCCCATGTATAGTTTCGTTTAACTATCACCCTATTTGAACGGTCCGACCACATGTGGACATTACTTGGCATCTTTCTTCTGTCGTCCTTATCTACGAGATAATGAATCTCAGATAATTACTTTTGAGAACCGCCCGGAAGACAAAAGCCAAAAAGATCTAGCAGTGACAGATATATGATTCGCCACAGACAGATCAAGTTAGTTACTCATTTCTCTATTTATTTCGATTGTATCTATATCGATTCTGAAGAACCATCGCTTCTCCATATTTCTGAGAGTTTTCCCTTTAGGAACCTAGCATGGCCCATTTACAAGGGAAACACTCATTGAAAGGTTACGTCATCCGTAAAGACCGGACGAGCCTACTATTTGGAGCAGAGCGCAAAATTTGTTCCAGGTGCGATCTAGGACCAAGCTGTCGATATGCAAACAGGTGAGGCGGATGATCTGATAAAGCTTTGGCGCAAGTGAGCAGAATCAAAATTGGACAACTGATAACGGCCCCAGAATAGTAAGTGACCCCTTCGCTTGTTGGATACACTTTTACTTGATATTGGATATTTTATTCGTATATCAAATGGATATCCATAAGACCTGCCCATCGTTACACACAACTCGATGCCTTTAAGTGGCGACCAATAGGAATTTCGTAAACGTAAGGCAGATGCCCGCTACCGGATACCGGATTGCCTTAGATTTACAGGGTGAACTACCGTCCACTGATTAACTCCATAAACCCGCCACTATATGTATCATAATCACGCATGATGGCTTGGAGATAATCTGATACCTTAGATATAGTCAATACGATAGCTCGTAAACTTTATAAAAAATACGTAAGTGTTGTTTTCCTTGACGGCAGTCCATCGTTGTATTGATTCGATGACATCAGGACCATTGATCCAATTGAAACCATTTCTACATGTGCTTGTAGCGTAGACGATGATATTGACACTACAGCTACCATTACATTATATGTTATCAACAGTAATGCAACTTATATTGTGACTCTAAAATATGGCTTCGGTGTCAATAACGTTTTACAGCCATGATATCTCAGCTTCAGTTTTTACAGATTTTTTTGAGTTCTTCATTTCGGTTCACAGCGCAAGAATGTTTGACTAGCATATGTATCATTAGGCGTCTTACTTTCAATATAATGTATTCGAAGCGGGTCTCCGCCATGTCACGCGCACTACTACCCATTGTAGGAGTGTTGAAATCTAGAGCTTCAATTTCTGATAAAAGAAAAAAAAGATTCTGTAAAAAAAACAGTCTGTACCGCGTAAATCTTCTGGTATCAAAGAGATTCCGTATCGTTCTCTACGGTGAGAACGTTCTACAGGTGGAAATAGTAGGAAGCCTTAGCAGAAAGGATCCGCTATACACGTACAAGGGCTCATTGACACTGCGGAACCACTCGAGAAACTCAGGGTTGCCAAATTTCATATACGACCCAGTCATCCACCCCGATGGATGCTATCTTTACATGAATCGGGCCTCAAGAGATCAGTCTGACCGGGCTTGTTGTAATGCCAGAATAAGCCAAGACGCATGACTAAAGTTCAAACCAATCGAAAACAGAATCGTTCTCTACGTCTACAATGTGATTTTGCTTGTTAGAACCATATCCTTTTGAATCCTATACGTAAGCACTATTCTAGCCTATTGATTCATGATAGCGTACATATACTTGTTTGCTTTAACTTAAACCGTCATTAGCTAAAAGCTCTACGTCACTGGCTAAAAATTATGTTCTAAAAAGCGCTTAAACGCATCCATTAATACCCGCTTTTTTCGTCCTTAAGAAGTTTCTAGAGAATTATTATTATTGATGATTCTATATATCTCTAGCAACATGTCTAATAACACTTAGCTAAGGCTCAGAGTTAAGTCGTTATACTTGCTTGTTATGATCATGTCAATTATTTTGGAATATCTGTCGAAAAATTAAGTTACTTATCTGTTAGGTTAGAGATCAAGAGACATTTCGTTCAAAGTTCTCTTCCAACATGACCTAGTTACTTAATGAATCGTAGTGAGTTGCTCATTATTATCAAAAACTCAACCGGATTCTTGTTCTTATTATTTACCTTGATTGATCCTCGCCCGGGTCGGAAAAAGCTCCCGTAACGTGCGGAGCATGGAGATACGATTGCTGAGAGGCAAGCTAGTCTGTAGTAAGACAATAGATACTTATCTAAATTTTGGAAAAATCGGCTCCGCGAGGAGAAATTTGAGCTAGAGCTTGCTGATAGCGGTAACAATAAGCTAATTGAAAATCACAATATCTAGCTTGAATACACCACACGGTCTCTAAATGTAATACGTTTAATTATTGCAGTTGTTTTTCAACGTACTGCTGGCCAGTAATCTAGCACTGAGTATAGGCCAGGACATTTGACAAACCCGATTGTCACAATGCGGCTGGCCAAGTATTGTACCGGACAAAAACCCAGGATTAAGATGTCCTTTTCGATACCAGGCTAACCCTGTAGAATTCAGATATTATCCTCTTTCGGCCGAGGTAAGGCCTGTTACATATATGGAGCGCAACTAGATACGGTCAACCTGCTAAAGTATTGCCGATGGTGTCAGTTCAACGGAGTACGTTTCGAAAACATATCGAAGACTAATAATTCATTAATCCCAAGCTGCTAGAAATGATATCTGTCATCAGTGATGTCACACTTTTTGACTCACGCATTTACAAAGTAGGATATAGTATTCATCAATAAACTTATCCGTATGGCGTTGTACCTTGAAGAATTATTGAACGACGTAAATTTCGAAGCACTGGTTAAGTTGGCCGGAAGCTAAATGCACAAGCGCACTGCACTTCACTGTGTTAGAACTTGCGAAAACCTGATGATAAATCGAGATTAGAAACACCTGTCCTGAGCGTCTCAGGAATCGTGTCCGTCTGATCAGTTTCAAATCCACGTTTGTTCCCTGGCACTCGCGCGCGGTTGGAGTCATCAGAAGCAGCCCGGGTCCCCCTCGCCATTCAAAGGCAAGGGTAGCATAACTGCCGCCGTTGTGTCTGAACCCGATAGTACAGATCTCCGTAACAAAGAGTTCCCCAGTTACTGTTGGAAATGTAAATGGTTCTTTCATACAACTCAGTGCAACACGGATTTTTGTGTACAAGTCCTATCTGACGTCCCTCAAGCTCACTTGCGCTTCCCCTTCGGTGGTCTACACAATCCAAATTATAGCTAGGATTAAAGCTATAAAAAACAGGCACACACAGTGTTATTAGTCATAATTAGCTGATATACCGCAAGTCTATCAGGAGCTGTTAAAATCTCGCAGTCGGAGAGAAAGGAACGATTAGGAATGCCATAACCGATTGCAATGAACGACAACAAAAACAGACCGAAAATAGTAATCCTTTTTTTTTTTACCGTGACAATAAAGTCCTGCTACAAATCGTCGTTTAGCGTCGTAGTAAATACATACCATATGCAATACCGTTTATTAATGAGCCTTTGAGGCAGGTATCAGGCAAGCATACTTCGGAATAGAGTTGATTGCCGTGATTAACGGCACTTGGCAGGCGAAGCCTGCTAGCGAGGTCTGCTATTTTAAAGCAATATATATATTGCAATGTGAAAAGCGAAAAAAAAAAAAAAAAAAAAAAAAAAAAAAAAAAAGTTTAAAAGAAGTGTCTGGCCTGCGCATGAATAAAACGACTGACAATATATATATATATATATATATATATAATCGTGTTTGTAGAGCCGCAAATCATTAGTATCTGACATTGCCAATCCCGAATGAATCACGAGTGGATCTGTTTCAAATGTGAAGTTTATGACTGATGCCTACCACAATATATAATTTGCTTTTTCCGTCTGCTGAAGGTTAGAGCAGTTCAGTTATATTGTATTAGAGAAATGTGCAAAAAGCAGTGTGAAAAGTATGTTTACAATACAAATTACCCAAACGGTGTCTATCAAGGTAGTTTCTGTACGAATACCTATTTACGCACCCATAAATATGAATTTTAAAGAAAAGTAGATAGCTTCTAGGTAAAATAGGGATAGGAAAAAGGATGTATATATCATTTTCGCTAAATGTATAATCTATAGCACGAAATCGTTACCGAGCCCTCTTCGACCTTACGTTTTTTACCCTTTCAATAGGTACCTTCATCCATAATGCGAGTACACTTTTGAAGTACGTCGACTAACGTTGATCGAAATGAAGGAGCACAACTTCGAGTGCGGCATGAAGCTATCGCTGATAGAATGGACTAAATAACGCTGAGCTGAATAAAGTATCGGTCGCTGATTTTCATGAAGTCGAAATTGCGTCACTATAATTAATTTATCTGAGCATTGCATCACTTCCGGGCAGTTGTGACAATCCTTTTTAGTAATCTCTTAATTTATGCTAAACCTAAATTTTTCATTATTATGATCACTAAACGGCACTAATATGGCAAATTGCGCGATACACCTGAAATGGAATCAAAAATAGACCGATCTAGCAGGAGACAGGCAACCTTGCCTATTGGAAAAATTGAGGCGGGACCCTATTTAATCCAGCGAGTAAATTTCAACACATTCTATTCATTAGAAGCTAAACTACACAATACAGCTGTATTTAATAGTAAGTAACGGGAATTCTAGACATGAGTCAAATTTTTACCAATAATTTTATTCTGTTTCAAAGAACTATGTTCAATATGGGTTCTTAATTATTCTTGCGTGTTGTAAAAGGATGACGATTAAAGATCAATATAGTAGTCTGCATATGAGGTTTAGTTCAATTCGAGGTTATATAATAAGCTCGAAATGGTCTTTTCAATTCATCACATCTATGGCAGATTTTCGAAAAAATCCCACATCGATCAAGGATATGAGATAGTAAAGATTAAAAATTATTTGAAGTTATTTTACGTTACAAGTCCTTTCTATCGTTACGTAGTATATATATATGGATAATATTAGCGTGTAAGAAAGATATACTGGCGATGTAAAGATCTCGATGAACTCTTATCATCAGTAGAGGGATTTTTAGGTAGGGGATATTCTTCGTGATCTCCTTCAGGGGGGAAGGATCGCGTGGGGGCTTTATGAGCCTCTAGCAATCCATCTAATTTCAGCATAACGTGTCACTAATGAACAATCGACTTAATATTAAAGCCTGTTTTTTGTCGATTCCGACGTGTGTGTGTGGCTCATGTCGGGCTAGAACCTGCCGCTTGTGGCTCAACGTAACCTAATGATCACGGCTGATCAACATCCTAAATCGTAGGTGTTTGCCTAAAGTTCTAGTTTTTGCAGAAGAGATGTGTCGTTTTCGGATCCAGCCTCATCACAAAGACAGGAAATAACAGTACCCAAATCGAATGGTTGGTTTCATGTACAGCATTGGTTTGCTTTCCTGATCGTAATCGATGCAATCCATCATCGGTTCTATCACACGGCTGATTATGAAATTCGAAGACCATCATTATGAACTATCGGGTTTTGAGGAAAGGTGCTACTTACGCCGTCTGTCTGCATTTGTGGAGCAGCCCCTGACGACAACCACCCAAATGATCGGCGTACACGTGTGATGCACGATGAACATTCGGACATTAAGCTGTAACCGACGGCTCGGAATTTGAACTTAGCTATGAGGTTCGCTAACTGTGGACGCCATCAACTTAATGATCGTCTCGTCTGGCATCGGTCAATCGAAGTTAGGATGAGCACTGGAAACTGTGCAACGCACCCGTTGCTTCCTCTTCGATAGAGTGTTCTATAATTGTTACAAAGCCGTGGTTCAACGCTTAATAATAGAATATCTCCTAATGGAATTAGATAGAGTTAAAAAAAATATCAAATAAAAAGGCAGCCGCACTAAGCGCATGTGGCACGCAGTGCTTGGCGATTTGCTATAGCCGGAAACGCTCCATAGGTCACGCTGGCGAAAAAAAAAAAAGATTTAACTGTTTAATAGTTCCATCGACACTGGCTAACTTGAACTGTTAGTCGATCTAGATAATATTGCATATATATATGGACGGCATTGTACCGCAGAGCTTTACAGGAACCTGATAAATGACATCATTCAGAAATTTGCTTCACCTATTTTATGTATGTCTATTTGACTGGATAGAACATCTGTGGACTCAAGCGACCCATGAATCGACGAATTTTATATCTATCGATTTGAAATGTTTGACATTTTCGGAAAAAATTAACTTGATTATCTGCTGCTAATTTGAATATATTAGAGCGGAAATAAAGTATTGTATTATATGGATATTGTCACGTCTTATTTAAATAAATTATAATCATTATTAACTCAAGCAAACAGTATTGGCAGCATGGATGTACTCTAAATGGCTCAATGGTACAATATAATAGACACTTTCGGCGACCGCTGGGAACGACGACATCCGTCGATAGATCATTAATAACAACGCTATGCTGCACTATACAGGACAGATTCGGTGTCTCTATAAAATAACCAGCACTTTATGGTGACTAGCGGATGATGTGATCAGGATTAGGATAATGATAATACTAAGGAGAGAACGTTGTCTCGAGATCAATTGGGCCGTACTCTTTTCTCTTCGTTCGCTTTCTCTGTCGTCCATATCACTGCCGTGAAGCATCTATCGCACTTCGTCCCCCGTTTGCCCGCGTCGTGTACCGTTTGCTTGCTAATAAGTGACATTACTGACGTGGCTGATGATTACGATATATGCATTGCGTAAACATCTATGATGGACTAGTCCCCGTGCAGTATTCATAATCATACGCAGCAAATTCGTCACGTTTCGTGTTTTTATGCACACGAGTAAGCTTTTTCCCTTCAAACCGTGTGTATTTCGCTATGTGATAAAGGGTGGCGCCTGGCGCCGTCACAGCAGCTGCCTCTGATGGTGGTTGTTTTTCCACGAATTAGAAAACTGCTATGGAAAGGAACGAAATACATGTTAGACCGAAGTTACAGATCTCATCGTCGGCGTATGTCGTCGTCTACCTCGCTAGCGAGTTGCAACCGGTAGATATAGCCACCAATCACATTGCGACTAATAATAATGACATGAAAAATGGATCTATATTTTTGCCGTCGTTCCAGGTCTGGTTAGCTGCGCAAAAAGGACCTATTAGGAAGAGTGTGGCAGACTAGGTAGTCATTGTGGGAGGCAAGGGGGCGAGCGGGGCGTTTACGCTCAAGAACTGATATAGTATCTAGCACACGTACATTGAATGTGATTATGGATGAAACATTTCCTTCTTCGTCTCTTGCAATTTAGCCCTTTTCAATCCTTCGAAGGGCCGGTAGCAGTTGCTTAGACTCTATTTTTTTTTACTGTGCATAATTGGCCGATTTTTTCTATGCAAAATGATGTATGTCACTGTAGTAGAGCCGACCAGTCACTATAGATCCGTGTGATCTGTTCAATGCTGACGTTTAGGGCTTATGAAATTCAATAGTTGAAGTAGCAATGAATTTGTTAATAATAGAGTAATAACGATCACGATAAAGCTAAGGCACTTAGTTTTAACTTTAGATATAGATCCACTGTTAGAAATGTCAGCCCCTGAGAGAGCCCCTGTCAAAATTCAACAACGAACGCTACTGATTTATCACCGACTAAGTTTAGTCAGTTGACTTATTTTTTTCGTCTTTTTCTTTTGCTAAATATTATGCTCACTTGCTCTGAATCTGCCTACAGCAGTGCCAGACATATACGCGTACGCAGCTAGAGATGCGAGGCTGTCGGTGTCGATGAAATTTCGGTTGAAAGGACGATGATATAAAGACTAGACATAAAGAGCTCGGTAAACGAGAGTTTTTCTTTTTTCTAATGGCTCCACACACTCCGTAAGTATCCGACATGGAGGCTTGTGGAAAATCTTTGCTGGATTCGCAGATGAATGAATAGGAGTCTACTGCACCCTGCCGGTAATAACGGAT